TCTTGAGCAAAATTTTAAAGTACTTTTTTTTTAATATTTAAAATGGATTTTTTTTCAAGATAGAATAGAAATTGTGGCATTTTTTTTCATAAATCCTATTTAGCTTGTTTGGTTTCATTTTTTAGGATTTACTTTTCAAAAAATTGAAGTTTTTTTTGTTTTCTGTGATTTTTTGTTTTCATTGAATTTTTTTATAACGATTCTGGTTCTGACCCAACCTTTTATTGTATTCCAGATTCGGGTTTTATGGTTTAATGTTGTTGTTCATCTCTTTTTCCCCTTGTTGTCCCTTGGGTTTGTCTTTTAGGTTGTCGTGGTTATGTTTGGGACATGTTTGGTACTTAGTTTCCAAACATTTGTCGCTCAGATTTTTGCTCCTTCGCTCAAGCGGCACTTCTTGTGCTTGAGCGGGCTTTGCAAACTTTCAGTACTTTTGCAAGTCTGCAAAACTACTGGGAGAGTATATTCTATGCTCGAGTGGCGTTTCCTACACTTGAGCAGGTGTGCGCTCGAGCGGCCATTCTTACGCTCAAGCAATGTTCTTCTGTCTGCAAAACTACTGGATATGTGTATTCTGTGCTCTAGCGTCACTTCTTGCGCTTTAGCGGAACGAATTGTTGTGTCTGACGCTGGAGCATCAATTCTTGCGCTCGAGCGGACTGTGCGTATATCTGTTCGCAGTAGCCTTCTTTTTGTTCACTTTTTCATCTTTTTCTCTCTCAAAACCCTAGATCTACTCCCTCTCTCTCTCTCTCTCTACATTTTAACCTAGATCCATTGGGTTTTCTACCCTAGTGTCTTTGAGAAAAAGTTAGAGCATTGCAAGAGCTTCGTTTTGATTCGATTGAAACTTGGTTTCGGCATTGTTGAAGGTTCCACCTTGCTTTGTTCGTCTCCTAACTTTGAGGAAGAGATTTTTCTACACTTTCATATAATTTTTAACTTAGTTATGAGTTGTTATGTATAAGTGGTGGAAATTTGGGTGTACTATGAACATACCTAGGGTTTGGGTATTAAATCAAAAGAGGGGTTTCTAAGTGAATGAGTTATAAATGGTTATAGGGTTGAATATGAGGTTATATTGTGACAAAATAGTTCATTTTGGCATTTGGGTTGATATTTGGAAAAAAGGGAGTTTGCCCAAAAATGTTTTAAGTATTTATTTTCTATAAATGAATGGAATTGGGATTGAAAATGTGAAATTGAATGGATGTCGACATAAGGGTGGAGAAGAATATGTATCATCACTTACCTATGAAATTTTGAATAGATGATCTATTTTGAGATTGCATATCTGTTTAGAAATATTTGTATTAGGCTATTGGTGGGGGATATCTATGATTGTTGTAGAAATTGCATGAGGATTAAGTGAATTGAAAGTAATTTCTTGTTGGTTGTCATTGAATGTGACTGTGTTTTAAATACATCATATATGTATGATGTTTGGGAGGAGAAAAATGATGTACTCCATGTGTGGGAGGAAAAAGCAGATGGACTCACTACAAGAAATAAGGGTTTTTGCGGCGTTTTTTAACGGCGCTTTTTTAAATGTCATTTTTGTTAATATTTAACGGCGTTTAAAAATATCGTATATTTCTATAACTAAAACGACACCGTTTTATAATAAAAGGCGTTTAAAAACGCCTCCAAATGCGGTACCCCACACGCGCTATTTGGAATATGAGAATATAAGCCTTTTGTAAACCCTCAGCCCTTCGGACATAAACCAACATTGAATTCTCACCTCGCCTCTCTCTCAATCATCTCTAAACCCTTATTTTGAATCTCACCTTCAAATCTCACAGATTCACCGATTTCGAAGCTCCACCACCACCACCATCTTCACCCGCGAGGTAGCGAGATTCACCGATTCATCGATTTCACAGATTCACCGATTCAAATCTCACAGATTCATTGATTTCAGATCAGTCTGCACCGCCACCGTGATTTCGATTCAGATCGATCTGTGATTTCGATTCTCACTCTAGATCTCTCTCTCAGAGATTCATCTTTGATTTCATCTCAGAGCGATTTCGATGTCTCTCTCTCGATTTTGAAGCACCACCGCCACTACCATCTACACCAGCGAGGTATCGATTTCTCTCTTGGCACTCACGCTGGTTCTATTTATATTGTTGATTTTCATCGGCAATCGCTTCTTCTCCGTGTTTGTGTACTGACAGAGTCCATATAAGTCCATATAAACCCATAATTAGAATAATAATATTCGAATTCCGTTTGATGATGAATATGACTACTTGGTTTGTGATATAAACTTTATAAAGTTTGAACCATAGTTTGTTGTCATGATATGCTATCTAACTGCAAGTCGTACCACTTTTCTTTGTTTATTTCTCTCCTATTGGCATGTTTTTTTCTCTCTTTTTCTCAAGTAACTTTTAGATGTTTTTTCCCATCAATCTCAGGATATATGAAATACTAACTGTTTGGTACCTATTTAGAATAATAAAATGGCAGATACTTCTGCTGCTCAAGCTAGGAGAGGTAAAGATATCCAAAGAATTCCTTGGGAGACAGTAATATTTTAATTACATTTTACTATAAGGCATGCTGTGTGTTTTCACTCATTTTAATTGCATTTGTATTGGCAATCTTCTACTATTTTAATTAGCTAGAAAAATGCTGATACACAAAACATGGAGTTAGGTTTTTTGTACTGTGGTTGGTTGATCTGAGATGTATTCAGCTTGTGCTATGCTGTTTTCAAACTTTGAGAGCATCTTTATCATATGCATTACTCAGTTGAACTGAGGTGCATCTTAAGGCAGGGCATATTTGAGAGCATTTTTATTTAATGGAAAAAGAACAATGATGTCAAGCCTTATACTGCAAATTTAATGCAAATTTAACTATTTTGAAATTTCAGTTTGATGTAAAAGCTCCTTGCTCTCATTCTTTATTTTGAGTATAATTGTATGCATTGTTGTTTGTCCTTATATAACATGAACATGTATAATTTTATGCATTATAGTTTGTTGCTTTTAATCTTATTCCAATCACAATTGGAAATTGACTTGGCATGTTGGAAATTGCAGTTCCCTTGTTCGGCTCGAATTGCTCCCACAATGTCAATATCATAGGTTTAATGCTGCAAGTAAGATTTGTTAGAGTTTGAATAGAATACTGTAATGATTTGTGAATGAGTTGGTTTGGGGCTTACTCTTTATCTATGATAACAGCCTCTTGCAAGAAAGACTCAGTGCAAGCATTATCGTGGACACTTTTAACTTTGATTTTGCAAGTTGGTGCAACTTGTAGGACCACAAATAACACATCTGCAAGTAATAACAGTACAGTCACTACAGGAAAATGGGGATTTGATGGCGTTTTGTTAACGACGTTTCTGTAAACGTCACTGTTATTAGTATTTAACGGCGTTTTATAAACGCCGCATATTCTATTAAGAAAAACGACACCGTTTTATAATGGAAACGCCTCCGAATGTGGTAAACTACACGCGCCCTTTTAGTGAAAACCTTATGTTGAATCAGAGCCTTAATACATACGCACAGATCTCTCAACCCTTGATACATAGGCACAGATTGACATGCTGACATGGCGATAAAACTTGTAATGCCAAAAAACTGTATACCTTCCAATGTATCTTAGGGACTTTGAAAAAAATGTAGAGTGCTCGTTCTATAATTAATTTGCCCATTAATAGATTGTTAAATTAAGCATCCCAAGATAACAAATGCTTTCCACTCTGTTCTGGAGAGCAATTGTTATGAAATTTCACATATTAGTAAGTGAAGTAAATTAAGATAATTGTTGTATATAGGTCTATTAACGCAAGTCTTGCCCAATCCTTTTCTACTAGTTCTCTGTATTCATGTTTTCATTTCGAGCTTAACATTTCTTTATCTGATCTTGCTGTACACTTTTCCTATATTTCAGAATGTGCCCCCTGCAATACTACTTAGATTCCTGTGGGAGCACAGGTCAGAATGGGCAGACAGTAGTATCGATGCTTACTCAGCTGCAGCTGTTAAAGTTGGTCCCTGTAGCTTACCAGGGTCTAGAGTTAGAAGCTTTTCAGGTCAAGTTATTCTGCCACTGGCTCATACTATTGAGCATGAAGAGGCAAGTAATTTCATCTTGATTTCTTCATTATCTATTCCAAAATTTTGAATATTTACTTGGAATTTTGACATAGATTGTACATTTCATTTCATGGATATTAGTTATTGGAGGTCATTAAGCTGGAAGGTGTTGGACATTGTCCTGAAGATGCAATAATGCCTAGAGACATGTTTCTCTTGCAAGTAAGTTTTGGTTCTTCATATCTTTGTCATATATTTAATGCTTGAATTATCACGGTCTGTAGGCATGTTGCCCCAACAAGCCTAAAGTTTTGGTTCTTCATATCTTTTGTCATATATTTAATGCATGAATTATCACGGTCTGTGGGCATGTTCCCCCCAACAAGCCTAAAGTTTTGGTTCATATCTTCACAGAATTTTTTTTTGTAAGGGGGATATTTTTAAATGTTACTACTAGTTCATTTTTACAAAGTCCTCGTTCTTTTTTTTATCCATTACTTTTTATGGCCCCAACCTTCTTGCTTAATGTCATTGTTTATACTTTCCTAGCAGCTATGGAGCAGAATGGATGAGAATGCTGTTGGCACCTGTGCTGAACTTATATTTGCTCCTATCGATGCCTCTTTTGCTGATGATGCACCTCTTTTGCCTTCTGCTTTTCGCATCATTCCTCTTGATTCTGGCAAAGTCAGCATCTAGAATTACGTTATAGTTGCTGTATTCGGCCATCATTCTTTCTCTTTTTTCTCTACTTTAAACTCTTCTTTGGACTTCCATTTATTTGATGAACTGGGACATTTTGTAGGAAGCTTCCAGTCCAAATCGTACCCTTGACCTTGCTTCTGCTCTCGAGATTGGACCGGCTGGAAATAAAGCATCTAATGATTATACTTCTAATGGTGGCAGTACAAGATCTGTGATGACAATAGCATTTGAATTTGAATTTGCATTTGAAGGTACAGTGGAGCATGACTTTGATGTTTGAAGTTTTATATCTTCCTTGTGGCATTATTGGATTAGATTGTAATAGTGTGTTCGTAGATGGATGCCAATGAACACAAAATTTCTGAACTTTGCATACTCTATTTAATAGGTCAAATCAAGAGGAGTTTTAAAAATCTAGTTTTTGAATTCCGTTGTCCCGAAGTGTAGCAATTGGTCTTTTTGGGGGCTTAAAATAAATTTTTTTGCTCTCACTGGTCCTTGGTGTGTTCTTTCTTTCTTGACAGGTGTTATTTGGGAGTAGAGCTTCTCAAGTCTGGCAGTGAAGGAAGTGAAACCACCCTCAAAACCCTTTGGCATCACACAGATGCTATTATGTGCTGCTCTTTAAAGGTATGTGGCTTAAAATTTTCAACTCTGTCTCTCTGTCTCTCTCTCTGTGACATGGGTCTTGAATTGTCTTCCTATGCTATTATTTTTAATTGTTTATTATTCACAGCTTCAAATTTAAAAGGTAATTGGACTTCCAAAAAGCTGAAAGATTTGTATTTTGCCAGAGTTTAAATAACCAGTTAAGCTAAGGACGAAGGGGTTGGCCTAATGGATGAGGCACTCCCTTAGTAGGTGTAATATTTGGGTTTAAGTCTTACTGCCACGAGTGCAGCTTTGCTTCCCCTATTCCCCTTGTATTGATTGTCAAAAAAAAACTCAGTTAATACAGAATAGAGGGTGATATGTCACAGTTAAAAATCCCAGTTAGTTTAGACCCCTAAAATACAAAAATTAGATAGCTTTTAATTACGCTGCTTTCACAAGCTCATTATCTTTACAATTAACTGTACATGCAGGCATTGCCAGTTTTCACCTTTGCTAACCAGGCTGGTCTTGACATGCTTGAGACAACCTTGGTCGCCCTTCAAGACATTACTTTGGAGAAGATATTTGATGATCATGGAAGAAAAACTCTCTGCTCTAAGTTTCCACAAATTATGCAACAGGTTTGCAATTTTCTCTTGAATTAATAAATTGGATAAATAATAACTGAGATCAAGAAGATGATGGCTAACTGAACTAGGATCTGCTATTGAGATAACATTGATTTCAAACTTCGGTAGTATTTGAAAGCAACCAAACAACCAACATCTCTATTTGTTTCTGCATCCATAAAGAATGATTCATTGCGACAAATTGTTGTTGATACTAAAAGGATGAACCGTGCTACTTTTCATAGAAACTTAATGAGGCATTCACCACATGTCAAACACAATCACCTATTAACTTTGCTTCTGCCAAGAGAGTGGTAGGTGTAAATTTTAATCCCAGTTCACTTTAGTATGTCCTAAATATTAAAAAAATAATAATAATTGTATGCCATATACATTTAGAGTTTCCCATTTGTTCTGTCTCGAGTAAACTTTGCCCCATTTGTTTTGATGGAAAATATTTTTGTGGAAATTAACATTTTTAATAATAAATTTGAAGATGGGTTGTTTCAGGCAAAGAAGAAAATGGTTGAGTTAGTACATAAAATCATCGAAGCGAAAAGGAAGAACAGAGGCAGATCAGAAGTTGCAAAAGATGTAGCTGATGTTTTGCTGAATGATGCAAGTGAAGAGCTAAATGATTATCTAATTTCAGATGTTTTTAATATTATAAGCCATATTAGTGTGCTTTTTATTCCTTTTAAATTTTTTTGGGCAAATTACACTTCTTGACCATTTTGATTTTAATTGATGTATTTAAAGTCTAAATTGTTGCTATTCTTAGGTATGCAATGTATTGTTTTTTTATTTTTAATTTTGTTTTCAAGCTTAGTTTATTTATTATTTTAATAAACATCAATTATTAGTTTGACAGGTATTTTTTTTTTGTTCAACCATGTAAAATTAACAAAATTAAAAAAAAAGGCTATGGCAGCGTTTAAAAAACGTCACTATATCCCACCCCAACGGCTAGATTTTAAAAATGTATAAATGTCTATGACGGCGTTTTCAAAAATGTCGCTAAATGTTATAGTGACGTCATAGTACAGTTAGGTAGGACATTTGGTGGCGTTTTTAAAACGCCACCTATACTAATATGACGACGTTTTTCAAACGTCATAAAGTTATAGCGACGGCCGCGTCATCGGCGTTTGGTACTAAACGTCATAAAAAGAATTAGCGATGTTTTTAGTACTTTTAGCGGCGTTTTTTAAACGCCGCTAAAAGTGAATTTTCCAACAGTGACTCCATTGAATTAAGTTGACGTATGTGTCCTAGGTGAAAGTCTCAAAACCACGCGTCTACAAAGGTGCTGATTCCCGCAGACGAAATTTTCGTAAAATGGCAAATTGAAGTGTTTGTGTGATTAATGGATTGATTTAAGAACCACTAAGTTGTAGTCTCAATTGGGTTGTCTAGAAAATAATGAAATTGGCTAATGAGTTGAGATGAAGTGAATTGACGTGGATGAAATTGAGATAACAAGGATTGGAATATAAATTTTGGCATATTATGATTTTGTAAAACATGAATGGTTTTACTACGGACATTGTATATGCACACTTTACTTATATCTTTGTTAAGACTCATATATTATGTTAGATTGTTTCTACTGGGCTTTGGTTCACCCTATTTGGAGAAAACCATTTTCAGGTATTGGTGATATGTCTCCGCCATGGCAGTAGCTTGGAGAGATTTAGAGCAAGAGATTTTATTTTTGTTGTATCCATTTTGTATAGCCAAGAGGTTTAATTTGTGATTGAGCTAGGCTCATTTTTGTTATAACCAAGCAGGGACTTGGAAAGATGTAAGCCTTTAGGGCAAATGAATGGCTGTCAAAATTTCATTCCTTCTTGTGTCTATCTCTCATGTATATTAAACTCTGATAAGTGAAAGTATATTGCTTCTATTAATCTTATAGCGATCCCGGGTTTTTACCCCTTGTTATACAGTGATCCGGACTTGGTTCCGTGGATGTTAGTAGTTGTATAAATCTTGTATACATCTTTTCATACTTCGTATTTGAGTTATAGGATGTGTTGGGCAGGTTTGTTACAGGTTGGTTGTATTTGGGAGCAAATGGTTGCTGCCCAGAATTTTGGTTCTTCGCTTGAGCTAGAAGTCTGTCGCTCGAGCGAGCCTCATGTTTTGGTTCTTCGCTCTAACCAGGGTTTTCTTCGCTCGAGCGAGAGTTGAGTTTTTGTGTCTGGTCGCTCGAGCTAGAAGTTTGTCGCTCGAGCGAGCCTCATGTTTTGGTTCTTCGCTCTAACCAGGGTTTTCTTCGCTCGAGCGAGAGTTGAGTTTTTGTGTCTGGTGGGTCGAGCCAGAGTGGCTTCGCTCGAGCGAGCGTTTGCGTCTGGTTCTGGACCTGAGAGCTATGTTTCTACGCTCGAGCAAGATTTCCTTCGCTCGAGCGAGCGAGGTGTATGTTTTCGAATTCCTCGCTCGAGCGAGCATTGTGTCGCTCGAGCTTGCTTCTGGGTTGCAGACCTGAAGCTTTGAGTTTTTGGCTCGAGCGAGACTTTCTTCGCTCGAGCGAGGGTTCCTTGTGTCTGGTCGCTCGAGCGACCAAGTCTTCGCTCGAGCGAGCCTGTTATATATCAGTAGACAGCAACGAGTTTACACTTAACATTTTCATTCTCTCAAATTTTGAAACCCTAGATCTGTCTTCTCTCTCTCTCTACATACCTTCTCTCTAGGTTTTCATCTCATTCTAGTGTGAATCTATCCTAAGTCCTTTGTAAGAAAGGTAGAGTGGGTTGAGGGCTTCGTTTTAATCTGAAAGTTTGGCGATTTGGAGCACTTTGATTTTGGGTCTTCATCTCTGTTTTGGCTCTAATTTCGAGGTAGGGATACCCTACTCCTCTTTATGAGCTTTGTCTTTAAATTTTAGCATTTTGATATGTTGGGGTTGGTTTAGTAATTTTGTGAAAGTTTGGGGCTTTTGTGTAATTTTACAAAAGTTGGGGTTTTGTTTATATAAACCTATATGCATGTGTGGCATAGAAAGAAATGAGATTAACAATGATCTATTGAAAGAAATGGAACCTTACACTACAACAAGTTGGGTCTTGAATGACGAAATTTTTTTGTCTTCAAAGAGCTAATTTCGTCACTATAGATATTTGTGAGGAAATATTTTCGTCACCGGTTTCGTCATTGAATGTTTGTCACTAAAAACCACTGTGATGAAAAATAATTTCGTCACCAATGAAATTACTCCAGCGACGAAATTTTTTGTCACCAATAAAACAACATTTTGTCACCAAAAATTCTTATTTTCGTCACCAAATAGTTATTTGGTACCATATTTATCAGTTTAGTTGACGAATAAATTTGTCACGCATGTTGATCATTGATGAGGAAATAATTTTGTCACAATAAGATGTCAAGATGACGAAATTTTTCGTCTTCAAAAGTCATAATTTTTTGTCACCAATAAGACAACATTTTGTCACAAAAAAATTCTCATTTTCGTCACCAAATAGTTATTCAGTACCATATTTATAACTTTAGTTGATGAATAAATTTGTCACTCATGTTGATCATTGATGAGGAAATAATTTCGTCACAATGAGATGTAAAGGTGACGAAATTTTTCGTCTTCAAAAGACATACATGAGTGACGAAATATATTTCGTTACAAATATATATATACGTGACGAAATTTTTAATCACCAAACAACAAAATAAATAAAAACTTTCATATATAAACTGCAATAAATTTTGTCACAAAAAAAGTTTATTAGTGACGAATAATCACTTTGTCATAATAACAAGTACAAATGACGAAACAAATTCGTTACTAAACTTGTTCTATATTTTATATTCAATTTAAATTATTATTTCATAAATATCCCTGCTCATATCCTAATAGCCTTTTAATTATACTAAGAAATCCACTAGCTATTTATACATCACTCCACAAAAAATTTCACTAAACAATTTATATTATAAATCAAAATATATCTATCGAACAACTTTAATAATAATCCATTAAGTATCACAAAAAAACCATCAAAGCAAATTCCAAAATGAACTAACATGGAGTCCACACGTGGAGTCCACCAAAAAAAATCAACACTCAATCTTAATTTGCAACTACAACTAAGCATTAATTTAGGAAAAAAAATTCAAAAGTTGATCTTCATTTGCAAGTATGCTTCCGAACGTCATTAAAACCAATCTACAAAGAAAATAAACAAGGCAAACATTAACATAATGTATATATATAAAGTTTATTATAATAGCAAAGTTTTATTATAAACTTGAAGCCAAATATCATAAACTTAACAAATATATAGAACTATTCTCAAGATCACAAGCTTGAAGTTATCTGAATAGAAATTAACAGAGATTAACTAAAAAGATGAATACCATGCTCATTCCCACCCATGGCCTTTGCAATGACCACCTTAACATGGCAATTCACTGTATCCCCAGAATTATGCTCGGATCAAAAACTGGGTGTGACCCACGGACAGCAGCCAAACCAGCTATAACACTACAACATCTCATGGTAAGAAACCAGGGCATGCAGTCAATGAGAATGGGAAGGAACAAATATTGTGGCTGCTGCTGTAGACGTCCCCGAACGCCCCGGGAGGAACGAGCTCCCGTTCCGTTCGATATTGGGGTCACTATAGCTCAGGACTCTCAAATTTGTCATGGTTCTAAGTCTGAACCACAGAGTCCAAATCCGGCAAATCGTTTTGAGAAAACAGATTTTGAAAGAAGTGCCAAACATGGACTGCTTTGCCAGATACAGAGTCGCCACCTAAATGTTTTTTAATGGGAAATTTAGGAAACCCTGACTCATTTGCCTAAGGCCACGTGTCCGTCATCACCAAAGTTGCCTCGGCTCAGGAACTTGGTAGCGATTGGGGAAGGTCACTTCGTGAGCACCCCCGCTCGCCCGATCAAAGATCGGCCTCTACTAACCATGATATCTATTTTTGAAACATTG